CCTAAAAGAACAAAGAAACGACATTCAAAGTTTATTTTATGATCTTGTCTCTGATCTGATCTAAATAGAAATTAATTTAATTAAAATTTTACGAAATGTCATATTGTTTCTCTCTGTCAAGGCTGCCTTTTTGACTTTACAACACATTCACGGACGTTCCAGCACATGTAGACAGCGACAGCGCATGCGCGGCATAATTCAAATTAAAGAAAGGAACAACACTTTCTTTACATCTATATATTAATACGTGAAGCAAAAACTTTGTATCCCTTTTTACAAAAATTGCACGGACGGAGGAGTATGAAATTTTCCACACTTTAAGAGAATATAGAGAAGAAGTGCACAATGCCAATATATTTTTTAAATAATGCATAAAACATACATTAAATCAATAAAGAAAACATTACACACACTACATACCATGTATTTGACGCACACACGCATGCATACTTTTTATTGTCAAACTTTTGTTCTTGACGTCTGTTGTCAAATTGAGATTAAATATTGTTTGTCTTTGTTAATATTTTTCATAGTGTAGTCTTAGCGAAATATGTGATTATAGAAGTATAAAATACAATCATAATAGTGTACAAACTTACAATTCCAATTAATTATAGTCGAATTTCGACTACTGCGGGACCTCTAGTTTATTATATTTATTTAAACGTATATAGATGTGTATATGGTTCAAATAGTTCAGGGAAACATCGCTTAAAGTCCAATGACTGTGTGTGACTAGTTTACTGTTATTTATTATGTTATAGTTTTTGTCGTTGCTATAGTATTTCGTTATCTGAAGGATAAAAGTTGATTAAGAATAAGCAGTTATATCACAATATTTTTTAAAATAAATTAAAATTACTACTTAGTATTAATTTTCTAATCACGCATATAGGTATGTATAGGTTTCTTTGATTAGCTAATCATTTAATGTATTTATAATATTCAACGAAGAGTATTGAAATGTGACGCGCTTACGCGGATGCAGCGACATTTATGAATTTAGAAACTGTTTAATGTTAATTAATTACCTCGGATATTATGAAGCGACGTTATAGGCGCTTTTTTTCATGCATGCGTTTCGGTTTGACAGTGTGACAGTCATTTAATAATACATTGATACTTCAACTTCGTGTATCTTCAAGGTGGGTAGTGGGATTTACGTTGTAAGATCTATGGGTTCTGGAAGCCATTTTACATCACGTGGGCTATGAGTTCCTTCACAGATCTATAGCCACCTATATCATAGCCAATAACATAATATAGTACAGTACAGTATGAACGTGGTCATAAAAATGTATGGTGTGCGATATTACTGTGCTATGAGCTATATACTATATGCTATTATATTATAGCGTAGTCTGAAAGCGGCTTTAAGCTGTAGGCAGGGGTTTGGCTCTGCTTCTGGCATTGCTGACGTCCATGGACAACGGTAACCACTCAACATCAGGTGGGCCGTATGCTCTTCTTCCTATACGGCAATTAAAAAAAACAGTCCCCGTGGAAGTGAGCATATTTGTACAATGAACATAGATATCTATGTATTATATACAACCATAAGTTTCATTTATATATTAATACGTGAAGCAAAAACTTTGTATCCCTTTTTACGAAAATTGCGCGGACGGCGGAGTATGAAAGTTATCCACACTTATACAGAAAATAGAGAAGAAGTGCACAATGCTAATATTTTTTTAAAATAATGCATAAAAGCTACATTAAATCAATAAAGAAAACATAACACACACTACATACCATGTATTTGACGCACACATGCATACTATTTATTGTCAAACTTTTGTTCCTGACGTCTGTTGTCAAATTGAGAATAGATTAAATATTGTTGGTCTTTGTTTATATTTTTTATAAAGTAGTCTTGGCGAAATTTGTGATTACAGAAGTATAAATTACAATGATAATAATGTACAAACTTACAATTCCAATTAATTATAGTCGGATTTCGACTACTGCGGGACCTCTAGTATGAATAAATCTTGAATACTAACGCAACGTGCCGGTCTATGAGTAGTTGGAATAGCCCCTTAGGCTACCAACGATTAGGTAGGGAAAAACCTATGAACGTAATAATGACATTTGTTTGACCTATCGTCCATTGCTGCGAAAAACGAAGCGCTGTATATTACGAATTACGATATGATTCAAATGATTGTATGTATGTTGCGGAAACGTGTATTCTTCGCTCTGTTTCCTAAATTTACATACGAAAGTCTTCAAAAAACAAAACTTCTCACAATAGGTAATATTAATTCACGACTGTTATCAGGAAATGTTGACTGATGCAATCTTCAGTTGTGCTTCACTAAATTGGTGTACATTATATTATTATGTTGCGTGTATGCAAATTTAAATGCTATAAACTTTTTTGTTTGCTTGCATAAGGCGAATCAAAAATATCTGTTATTAAAAAATACGCGATCTCATTTCTTTTAACCTCTTCAGGTTTTGTCCCAATGGGGCATCGAGCGCTCGACTAACGAGCAATGTAATTTAAATTTTTTTTCCCCTACCTAAGCTGATAGCCTTCACAGGCTATGTCAGCGTAACCGGGCAAGTAGGTGAGCTCACGGGGCTCAAACCGGGAGTGTTGCTGACACTGGCCCTAGCAAAGAGCAGTGCTTCGCAGAATCTATACTACCGGATCGGAAACGCGACCCACTGAGAAGACCCGGCGAGAAACTCAGTGGCCTGTGTCTATGGGTTAATTTACTCGTCGAGCCCTTCATCGCAAGCGACGGGTTCGGCGAGTACGTTGACCGGTGCTTGAGGTACCTAAAAGCCCCGTTAATCGATCAGGAGGATCCGTAATGACGTGTTTAGGGAGATGTCGACTGTTTGCCATTTGGTCCACAGGATCGGGTATGAAACTTAATTTAACGAGAACATGCGTGCCTTTCGACTGCCAATTTGTAACCTCACCGCACCCGAGAAGGCGTGTCATCCAATAAAACCTTCCGATTTTAATAATATGTCAATTTAGTGAATTAAAAAAAAATGTGTCTAGGGATTGGTAGTGCAAAACGAATGAACCGTATGCTCCGATTTCCATCAAGGTATATTAAAAGATAAGCCCTTTTGGCTTTATGTGACCTGAGAGCGTAAGTAAAGCTGGCCACTAACTGTCAGATCGACTGGTAGCTCTACAGTCGTCGTTATTTAAAGGGAATACATATAGGTACGACAGAATGCACCTTTATTGTGAGAAGATGCTTCGTAATTTAAAGGATTGCCTATTAGTAGTAACAGCTTTTCCTATCTCTCTCTTCTTTTTTTTTTTATTGCCTTTGTAGGCAGACGAGCATACGGCCCACCTGATGGTGAGTGGTTACCGTCGCCCATGGACTTCAGAAAAGCCAGGGGCAGAGCCAAGCCGCTGCTCTCTGACAAAGCTCGAACAGCTTGTCAAACAGCGACAGCTTAGTTGCGCGCCTAATAGCTCTGCATACGTTCGCGGCTTATGTAATTTAATTGTGCTTTGTACCAAAATTATTCCGTTGAAAGTCTTACTTGTTAGCTTGATGTATGTATGTAAATAGATCGAAAGCGCCATCAGTCTCAAGACATGTTGGGCATGCTCTAAACAATGGTGCGACTATTTTAAAAGACCATTCTAAACGTAAACATTCTAAAAAAAATTATTCACGTTTTTATCACAACCAAATCGGTAAATTTTAAGGTTTAAGGACACCTTTTTAAGTGATCTAAACATGATCTTCTTTTGATCTTTTTTATTTGATATCCAGCCAAGTTTGATGTTGGTAAAAATTTCATTTTTTTTTTAATTAATTTTTGTCCGATACTTAAATATATTCGTTCGTAATTGGTAAGCGAATACAAATGTATAAGATAGTTTAACAATGGTAAATAAATTTCAGCATAGGTACCAAAAAATATATTGTACACACCCCCGAAGGATCGCTTTGAATTCTAGTTGAAAGTTATGCTTAGATTTGTTGCTTAGATGGGCGGACGAGCTCACAACCCACCTGGTTGTTAAGTGGTTACTGGAGCCCATAGACATCTACAACGTAAATGCGCCACCCACATTGAGATATAAGTTCTAAGGTCTCAGTATAGCTACAACGACTGCCTCACCCTTCAAACCACCACCAGTAATTACGCAAATTATAATTTTGCGGGTTTTGTTTTTATTACACAAATTATTGTTTTACGAAGGAGCTTAAGTGAGCCTTTGCTATAGAGCGCAATAGACTACCCATATTTATCTATCTATGGTTGGGCGTTATTTTTTAATAGAATAAAAATTTTACAACCCGTCATTTGTCATCTAATTTAATTACAAGTTAAAATTATATAATAATTATTAAGCAACGTGTAGTTTTTTGTTTTTCCCAATAATCATCAAGTCCAAATGATTTGATAGCGCGTCTATGTCTTCGTTAAATATTTGTTATAAAAAATGGTACGTTGCTTTGTTGCAATGTTCGTATTGTATACATTTTAGAATCACAAGTCTGACAATCAGAAATGAAAATAAAATGTTTGACAACGCACTGGTTTTAGACAAAACAGAGCGTGCCCTTGGCTGCAGTTCTTCCGGTCAAGCGCCTAATTGAAAAGAGCGTGAAATTTAAAGAAATTCGAACCGCCGTTCAAGTCCATGTTAAAATCGGATGCATTCCGTGAAAGTATTTGCAAAGTGACGATAAAAAATATATCGATAGTCGATAATGAAACGCAGTGAAAGCGCGCAGTCAGCTTAGTCGCTCAGGGTGCACGGCCGCGCACTCCGTCCGTACCAACGCCTTCGGTCAAGCGAAGCCTCACTGCGCATCTTGTGAGAACATTTCCGTGGTATAAAAGAAGGTAACATAGTGATTCGCAGATTCATTTGCACATACCCGCTTTGACTCTCCGGTGTAAGCATACAGGTTCGTGTGCTCGATGTCAGTGTTGTGACGTACTAGTGCTGTGCTCGTATATAACTAGTTTATCGATTGTTTTCTTGTTGACAGAAAGTGCCGGCCAGTGACGTGACGCGTGCAAGATGCGGTTATTTACAACGGTAAATATATTAAAATTATTTTATGTTTATGTATATTTTATATTTTAAATTATCAAGTTTATTAGTAAATATTTCATAACAAGTTGATATTATTTGGAACTATTGATAACTTTTTACATTCTATTTTGAACATTCTTAAAAATCTATCACTTGGCACTACGGAATCTAGAAAAACGACATTTGGACATTTCGACCGTAACACAACAACATTATGTATCAAGATTGCCAAATTTGACTTTGACTTTTGAATTAATTAGAGTTTTGTTATAAATATCGACCGAGAACTTGACAAACTTGTGTTAGTTTCTACCAAATATGTATTATAAATTTGGGAGACTTTTATATCGGCTTTTTACTTTTTTTACGATTACAATTAAACAGTTTAAATTGAAGTATTTATATCTAAGCATTTTGGATTGAAGTATAGATTAGACACGGTATATTACTTTTGAAATTTAGCGCAGATACTAACAGAGCTAGTAAACACAACAGTGTGAGCACCGCTGTCAAATTTGAGTAGGCATAAGATCCAAAATCTTAATTACATTGAAATTACAGTTATACTCTTGGCTTGATGCCATACGTCAAAACATATTTGAGGGGCCAAAAGCATGCTAGGATTGTGTAAAAGAAATGTCGTTTTCCGTGAATATTTATACTATATTATACATAATAATTCATGAGAATTTTCTGGAACGAACCGGAAATATATGAAGAAGCTTAATGGATTATATCATCATCATTCATCATTATCCTGCCTTTCTCCCAGTTACCTGGGGTCGGCGCAACATGTTTTCTCCTTCCATACTCTTCTATCATATACCATTTCTTCGCTCACTGCCCTCTTACCCATATCGTCTTTCACGCAATCCATCCATTTCTTCTTAGGTCTACCTCTTCCTCTATATCCTTCCACATTCATAGTTAACATTTTCTTACCAACCTCATTTTCATTTCGTCTCATCACATTTCCATACCATCTCAAGTGCAATTAATGGATTATATGACTAGTTGAATTTTAAGTTTGCAAATTAGATCGTTAATAAGTTTAGTTGTACACTGGATACTAGAAGCACCGCAATTAGCCCTTTTATGGGCAAGATATTTTAACTTATTGAATTATTTTAAAAACATGCATTGTACTAGCACTGACAAAAATAGGTCAGTTTTAATGAAAATAGTTAGTATCTGTGCGATTTCAGCCACCTTGAATTTCTATCACTAGATCCTTATTATCCGTCAGTAAAAGTAATACCCTCTTATCATTTAGTATCTTTTGTGTCAGGCAATTGTTCTTTGATAATGAGGTTTTGGCTTAGAAGAGCATCAGCTAAATATTCCCGTGGATAAATTAAAAGGTGGCTAAAGATCCTTATTATCCGTCAGTAAAAGCAATAACCTCGTATCATTTAGGATCTTTTCTGTCAGGTTATTGTTCTTTAATAGTAAGGATGTTTCGGTCTAGAAGAGCATCAGCTAAATATTCCTGTGTATAAATTAAAAGGTGGCTAATTAAGGTTAAATTAAAAGGGATTCACAGATTGAGCAGTAGCATTCTCCGGGTATTAAACCAGGGTACTGATATTGCCAATAGGGATTTAACGATGATAGGATGTATAATAAACCCACACAGGCGGGTAACATGATCCTGCCGTGAAACCTTTGAAGGGTGTAATAGCCGTTATAAATACCATTGAATCTTCGACCACACGTCTCGGGGTGCGTGGCGGGATCCGATAAACGCATAAGAGCATGTAGGCCGTCTGCTCGTTCGCCTATCTATATCTATATATATAAAAATTAATTGCTGTTCGTTAGTCTCGCTAAAACTCGAGAACGGCTGGACCGATTTGGCTAATTTTAGTCTTGAACTATTAGTGGAAGTTCAGAGAAGGTTTAAAAGGTAGATAAATATGAAGATGCTCGGAATGAAATAAAAATAACAATTTTGTTTTTCCTTTGATGTGTCCCCCGTCGGACGGATTCCTTTTGTTTGTTTTAAGTGTGATAAATAAAAAGGTGATAAAAAAAACACAGTCCACCATAAAATTTCTAAACTATTTTAGAATCATATACGAATTTGAATTTAGACGCCCGCAGATAATGAAAGTGGCCTCGTCTCGACCAAGGCCATTGGCACGTGTATGGTATATAGATAAATGTTAAAATCGTAACTTCACTTTTTTCTGTTGTAGTATTTTCATCGGGTTCCGCGAGTTTTTTTTTTTTATTGCCGTTGTAGGCTGACGAGCATACGGCCCACCTGATGGTGAGTGGTTACCGTCGCCCATGGACTTCAGCAATGCCAGGGGCAGAGCCAAGCCGCTGCCTACCGATAAGAGTCCGAGTGCCTACCGAGTCGTAGACTATATTATAAAGTCGGACGATCAATCGTCCGTGACCATGAAAACTGTAAAGTATTTGACGCGAATGAAGTAACATGATATTATTAAACTCGTAACAAAACCGTAAAATATTTTTTTAAATATTTTTTTAATGTGTTTATTAGGTCAATACTCATAACAGCTTGCGGTATGTTTCTCAAGGTTTTACTGTTGAAAATCTTACGCTAATATAGTGTTTGTTTATTTAAATAGCTACATTTGTAAAAATATATATATTTCAATAGTGAAGTACGTTCTAGGGGTAAATTAAGCCGCGCGCGCGTTTTATATTTACACTAGCGACCCGCCCTCGCTTCGCTTCGGAAACATTAAAACACACATGAAACCAAAAAAAAAAAATTAAAAAAAAAAAAAAAAAAAAGCCTATGTTCATCAGGGACAATGTCGGCTTCTAATGGAAAAAGAATTTTTCAAATCGGTCCAGTAGTTTCGGAGCCTATTCGAAACAAACAAACAAATCTTTCCTCTTTATAATATTAGTATAGATAATAGCTTTATTACAATATTCAGAAATCGTTATGAAACATGAATACTTTCTCATTTCACATTAGTAATTTTAATGTTGATTAATTAAGCGAGTGATTAATTTGTAATATGTGACTACATTGTATCTAATGAGTTTTACTAATGTTACCCTACATTGATAGAGGGAGCCGATTATTTCGAACCACTAAGACGTGTGTTGGAATGTATAAAAAGGAATTAAAGTTCTGAATATTTCAATATAATTAAATTCAATTCAGATTTAGTAAATGTTTTACTTGTATAAAGTCCCTACAAACTTTGATGGTGTTAAGCTAAAGCCTTAAGTAAAAAAAAGGCCTTAAGTATTAAGCTAATGGCATTCATCAAAGTTTAATTTACATGATTGAGACTTTATCGGATTAATGGTATATAATTAAATGAACGAAACAAGCAATCGACGTTTTAAAAATTGACTGATGGCAGGACGTATTCTAAACCTGCACAGATAGTTAACACCACCCTGCCAGTTTCTGTCGCGAAGCAGTACCTAATGCATTCCGCATGGTGCACCTAGTACATGGTGGCGGTATTTACATTCTAATGCAATAAATAAGCCAGAGCTATAATATTTAAGAGGTTGATTTTTTTTATCGCTTAGATGAGTAGACGAGCTCACAGCCCACCTGGTGTTAAGTGGTTACTAGAGCCCATAGATATTTACAACGTAAATGCCGCCACCTACCTTGAGATATGAGTTCTAAGGTCTCAGTAAAGTTACAACGGCTGCTCCACCCTCCAAAATGCATGTCTGTATTCCGAAGAAAATAAATTAATATATATGTACATATAATATATGTGTGTATATGTATTTATTCCTTGAATCGGTAGGTACACCGCGCGTAATTTGTTTCCTAAAGTGATTCTTGTTCAGCTAATCGTAGTCTGGAAGAGACCGCTGTTAGCGATAAGACCGCCGTTTGGACCTACTTTTTTTTGTATTTAATGTTTTGCATATTTTTGTGTGTATAATTTAGTATACTCTCTCTCTCTCTCTCTCTCTGTTTTCCATGGCAAAAGTTACATCACACCAAAATTAAATTCAAAACATCAAAATCATTGAAATGGACAATCATTTTGGTACCTAATGTCATTCATTTTATGATTCAAAATGCGATTACGTTCTGCTAATTTAACTTACTGTTTGTTACGTAAGCTGTGCATGCTAAGTGTAATATCCGTCTAATATATATTTAAACGGAAGCTAATTAAAATCGCACGATGATATAATAATCTAGTAATAATTTGATCAGTGTTTTTTTTTATCTATGAATTGAAATTTCAGCAGCTTGCTCGTGTCTTTCGAAAAATTATTATTCCTTCGAGCTTGACAGGGTTCATGAAAGTTTTTTATATCTTGATCTAAATCATAGACCAAAACCCAATCTATTTACACTATTAGGTATTTACCTACGAAATTGCCGCTTAGTGAAACTGAAAGTAAAGGATGTTTTTTTTACAAATATTTTTATTTCTGTTAATCATTTACTGGTGGTAGGACCTCTTGTGAGTACGCGCGGGTGGGTACCACCACCCTGCCTATTTCTGGCGTGAAGCAGTAATGCGTTTCGGTTTGAAGGTTGGGCAGCCGTTGTAACTATACCTGAGACCTTAGAACTTATGTCTCAAGGTGGGTGGCGCATTTACGTTGTAGATATCTATGGGCTCCAGTAACCACTTAACATCAGGTGGGCTGTAAGCTCATCCACACATGTAAGCAATAAAAAAAAATAAAAAAAATATGTGACAATGCGGTTCAATATCTTTACGATCTGTGTCTGTTAAGCAACACAAGCCATACCATAACGCGTTCGTTGCGGTGGCGATAGTTTACTTCAATTGCTAATTTGACGCAAATGGACCAAGATTGTTTTGAAGCTAACCAGGTTAAATATGGAGATACGTGACGCAAGGTAATATTCACAAAAAATGAAAGCATATGTCCAGATGTGCGATCTATATCATCAAAAATACGCATGAACCTTTGATTAGGTTAGATTAGGTTACCTAAGAGAATAAAATGAATGAAATGAAAAATAAACTGCACAGTATATTGCTATACTGTTATCTAAATATCTAAAAATTATCTTTCAGTGATTGTGGGCCGCATTAGCGCAATGAGATTAGAGTCATATTCAAAATAATTATTGTATTTTATATCATATTATAACTGTTTTTAATTTTGTATTGTATATTATTTATTCGCATAACTTACGGATATTTATTTTTCAATAAGTTATCTAAAAATATTGTTTAGCGATTTCCATAAAATTTAGATTCAGTTTTATTACCTGAACAAGGATAATACTTTTTAGGTGTATAATTCACGGAATTGTTCTAGGTATAATGAGGCCATTGTAGTGCAAGATATAGTTCACGACATTTAGCAGGTGTGCCAGAAAGATTTAGAGAGTATTGTTTATTTTCTTGTATATTATTGTATAATCTATGGTTTAGTTCCTTATTACAAAACACGAAATGTGTTTAGCCGCGAAAAGATTGCGTTCGTAATAATGACCAGTCATAGCACGTGCAACAAGCCTACATACGATTCACTGAGATTACGCATATCGTCATTAAAGCGATTGCCCGTAGTTATGGTTCGTTTTAAAAATAGAATCAACAGAAAATATATGTTATGTATGTTGGGAACGCATCAGAGAGGGTTACGTAAGTTGTCAATTTAGAAATAGTTAGTCGTCGAGTTTAGAACAATAATTGTTTGTTTTTTTTGGAATATTCTCTATTTGTAAAGGTGTAGAAACGACTAGGTAGTTCGTCAACAATTAAACATAGATTTAATAAAACCAAATTGAATAGTTGACAAGCTTGCGGTTGCTTGTGAACAAATATAATCGCCGGATCTTCTCAGCGGGTCTTCGATCCGGTAGTAGATTCATTCGCGAAGCAATTGCTCTTGAGTTGTTAGGTCACCTTCGGAGGCGCTCGGGCAGGAGTTAGCAAACCCCACCCCTCCTGGCTGAGCCTTTGCTCGCCCACCTGTCCTGGTGAAACTGGAAAGGCTTTCGGGCCACCAATAATCTTTCAATCATAAAAAAAAGAACAAATATACGAATAAACAAACGCGATATAACTGAATTTATCGAGTAAAAATTGTATGGATGGAAATAAAATATCCGCTTTGAGATTCTATGAATTGAATTACAATTTACGTCTTATTCCAATTGTAATGGTCAATAGGAAATGCAGTGGTACTAACCGGTGCATCTTTAAGTTGGAATCGGCTTTACTTTCACTTTTGTTTATTTATACGCTTACCTCAGGCAGTTAATTCCGATACTTTCATCTCGGGAATTCATGTATAAATAGTTACATATATATGAAGTATAGCGCGTGCTTTCTGACCTCGGCGAACGTGCAAGTTGTTACGTCAAAGGCAGATGTCAATATGTGAATAATTTTAACTTGTTTGATTAGCACTGTCGTAGCGTAAAAGTATTGATTTTATTATTCGTTGAATTAAAATATTTGATTGCCGTTTGAAACATCAGTGTTAACAACCATCATTCAATATTTCATTATATGCATATATAGGTATTGGTTTTAGTTTTGGCAGAAAATAACATAGGAGTTTTTCTCAACTTGTATTATAGGTATGTACCTATTATATTGACGCAAAGAACCATGGAAAAAATTGGAAGAACGAATTAATGTAGTACCTAGATACTAATCAAAGACAACAGTCACCATCCTTACTTATATATGAGTCGACTATTATCAAAGCCGACAATGTGACTTTTGGACAATTATTGGTAAATCAGAAAAACGAATTATTGACTTTGTATTTAATTTGGCAGTCACAAAACTCTTCTGAACGACATCTTAGATAAATAACAGGTTAACTATTAACCTTTATTTAATGCAGGTTTTGAACCGTATTCTTTGAAGGAGACGATTATATTCAAATCAATCTGTATTGACATATCAATAAATTTTTTTTGTCCAAATGCACAGATTGCCACCTTTGATAATAAACGACTCATATACATAAATATTGTACAAATATGCGCCTTAAAAACAAGTAAATACGACATAAATTTAATCAATACCATTGTCGGGTGTCAGTTGCACGGTTTTTGTAGCTACGTATATACTTATTCGTATAATTATACTCCTATCCACGAAATAGCTATTATTAGTGTGCGAAGTTGAAAATGCTTGAGACCTTCCTAGACAGTAACTCAATTAAGCTAACCCGTAGTTACGTTGGGGTCGTGGAAAGCGGTCGAAGGAACGAGTCTCGTGTCTGTCTCTCATGTCATGTCGTATATGTGCTTGTCGAGAAAATTGTTACGTAATTCGTTGATTTTACTCTGCGATATCTAGATATCACGTAAATATTTTCACGTCAGGAAGGAGTTTTTGAGGCATAGCTTTTTCCAAATAACACAGTTACTTTTATTTTGGAAATATAGCTAATTCATTTAACTATATAAAAGTTATGCAGTTTCTTCTGTTAGCCGACATAAAAAGAAAAGGTTCTCAATTAGACCGTTTTTTTATTTATTTGTGTTAGTTCAGAACTTTTTTCTAGGTGAATCGATTTTGATGATTATTTGAAAGCTGATGTTTCTCATTTTCCAATTTAAATTTTATCAAGATCTGACCGGTAGTTTTTCAGTTAACTTTAATAATGCATTTCCAATTGACCTCAACTGTACTGATGAAATTCTCATTTTATTTTGTTAATGTCTGTTTTTTTTTAGATTATTTTTAATGCGTACCTAGATGGTGAACAAGGTTCTTGATTCCATTTAATAAAATATCGGTCGATAGTTTTATTTCATTTCCAATGCACTTCTTAAAAAATAATTTATAATTAGGTTATGTGCTCATAATCATAGTTTCTTTGTTATAGTGTTGTGTTTCATAAAACACACAGAAATGTCACAATGCGTTCAATTGCCGAATACGCAGAATTGTGATTTGAAAAGCAAATGCCTAGCACGCGAATGAAATTGCGTTAAGATGTATCATTGTAACAAGAAATTTAGACAATACCGAAGACTACACCGATAATAAAAACAATAATGTAGCATCAGTTATCTTAAAACAGTATAAGTGACCATACTTCATGGCTGCTTAAAGTTTTGATTATTCGGTCTTCGATGGTATTTTTACATTTATGTAAGTTATCACACATTTAGTAGTTTTGTTAATAGATATTTTGTTATTTCCAGATATTATGCTGCGCGATATTAGCAACAACATTTGCTGGTCCAGAACCGAAGAAATACAAAGTAGATGTCAAAGATAAAGACAAAGTGAGTAATTCAACATTAACAGACGATGAAAAGAAATTTTTAAGAGAAGTTGAAGCTAAATTTGGTGTAAAGCCTGATGAAGATAAAAATAATAAGAATGATGAATCAAGTTCCAAAACACCTACACCTTTCCCTGCTGTTATAGCTATAGAAATAGTTAATGATACAGACTCAAAATCAAAGGGTAAAAGAACAATAGATGCAAATTTGGGTTACGGATACAGAACAAACAATGGCTATACCTATTCATACTTTGGAAAGCCCGTTCAAGAAAAAGGAAGATTCATGATATATCCATACTCGCAAGATGACATCGTTCCTACAACACATCATTATACCCACCATACGAATGCTGGTGGAAGATATACAACAGTTGCAACTAAAGTTGAGATACAACCATCTCAGGCATTCGAGTTAGTTCCTGTGAAAGAAGAAAATGTTGAACACCAAGGCTCTTCGGTACAAAGTAACAATTATGACAATATCAAAGGTTTGGTTTCGCCACCGCCGTCGTTTGTTCAAGGAGGATATTCTCATGTATCATCGCCGGTGTCGACTCCATCTACTTTATACACTACATACAATGGACAGAGTTTTTCAGGATTGAGTGGACAGTTCCCCTCGGTTATGTCCAATTATTTAGTTGAGCCTTCACAGCTTTTAAAACGACCAGAATTCCAAGGGGCTGGACTAACTACCGATCATATCCACAGTTTACAGGGCTCGACAAAGGAACAAGGAGTTGTGCCTGTTCTGGTTTTGAGGATTCCTAGTTCGTCGCTAAAAAATCCTACTGCTGAGCTCTTTGCGAATTTACCTGACAACTACCCGTTTTCACGTTACTTGAACAACGTTAATTTACAAGAATTAGTTAATGAATATTTTAAGAAAATAGGCTATTCGTTCGCACCACAAGTCATGACTTATCAGGAGTCACTAGCTTTGAAAGCTTCCGAGGCCTTAACAGGGGCACCTGTGCATGAACCAAATCAGTATGCGGTACCTTACGTTCAACCTTCATACACGCATTCTGATCATTCAGGCGTTCAATATTCGGCTGTTAAGCCTGTCATGGCTCGATATCCGTCTAGTTACGTTAAGCAACAATATTACCCACAAGGTCACTCCCATTACAGGCAACCTGTCCATCAACCAAGATACGAATACAGATATAAATATGTTCCTCAATCTCGTGCACCAACACAAACTTACTACGTACAGCCTCAGTATCAGCAGCAAGTTCAACCCGCTCATGTAACAGAAAACGAACAAACTTTGTCTCAAACTTATAATGCACAGGATACATCAGCCGAAGTGCAGTATGATGAGCAATCTCATGTAAACAATCCAGAATCTGTATCGGTTACCTATGAATACAGACAACCAGAAAAAAATATTGAGAATCAATATGAAACACAGACTGCTTCACCTGACTATGCTGCTCACGCAGTAACGGCATCTGTTAGTAATAGCGTTAGTCCAGTGTACGGAGTCCCGGAGACAAGTTCACCAACTTACCGTGAAGAGCAGACCTTACCAAAGGAAAATGTTGTTGTTTATCCGTCAGAAGAAGACCTCAATCAAGAACCTCAACGACAACTTTATTCGCAGCCAAATTTAGAATCATCACAGGAATATATTTATCGACAGCAATCGAATGAAAATTCTAATGATTTAGTATTAACAGAAAACTACCCTAGTAAGGACCACACGGTTGCCACTGTCCTTCCACTATCGTACAAATCAAAACAAACAACCGCAGAAGGACCTGTTCAAACAGTGAGTTACGTAACTCCGATGCCTTACTCTTATAAATACCAGTCGCCGTATAGGGTAATGGTACCCCAGACTTTCCTAAGGAACCCTGCCACAGCTGAGAAGGTTTCATACGTAAATTCACAATCCATGCATACATCTCAAAATCAAGAAGATAGTTCCGAAGTCGAATATACTGTACCAGCCCACTATATACCGCCCGTTGGTAAACAAAAGCCTCCTTCTTATCCCAGAAATTATCACTCTTACCCGAAAAGAATGACAAGACCGGAAAATAAAAGAGAAAGTATAATGACGAGGAAACAAAATCAACGCAAAGAAATGAAGAAGTCATCATAGGGTGTAAATAAAATAAGAACATTGTACATTTTAGTAGTAAGGTTCATTGTATGATATAGAGTTAAGTTTTATTTTAAGGCAAATATGATTGCAAAATGCTAGTAGAGGATAAAAGTGTTTAAGCATCGGTATTTTACCAAAACGATTAAAGGAAAAATGTATTATTTTTAAAGACTTGCTAAAAAGTGAAATCAAAAAGCTTTATTTCTCATTATTTATTATGTGATTTTGTTATGTTCTTAACGTACTTGAAGTGCAATATTTTGTGTTTTTGTTATAGTGGACATGAAAACTAAGAGAGTAATAAACGTTGAATTTGTATTAATTATCTGTTGTGTGTCTGTATTTTGTTCGGATTTAAATAAGTCCTGATTTCTAATTTTAAATTCAACATCTGGTTGGTCACGTTCATAGTTCAACGAAAACAGATTTTTCATTTATTCCTTAGAGGTCACGACTCATCCTCATTTGGTGTTAACAGAAAAACGGACCCCATAGACGAAAACAACGTAAATGTACGTCATCAAACTTGAGATATGAGTTCTAAGTCTCAGTTACATAGTACAACAACAGTCCCGCCTTTCAAAGCGAAATGCATTACTGCTTCATGGCAGAAATAGGCGGGTCGTTGGTACTTACCCGTGCAGGCTCATAACAGACTCTACTACGAGCTATGTGAAGAGTTATGTTATGCAGTGGCGGATTAAAGGTCCAGAGCGCCCTAGGCAATCACTTTATCGGCGCCCCTGTACCGGCCATAAATGGCCATCATAATACTATAAATTTTAACTAGTTGTTTTTGCAATTACGATGACGTTGTATCATCAAACCCTAGACTTTAGTAGACCAAGACCCTTGTACTTACACTAATGCGCGAATGAAATATTACGTTAAGACCAAGACCCTTGTACTTACGCTAATGCGCCAATTAAATATGTCGTTATTACTGTGAACAAATCAAGAGGGGCCACAGAAGACTTAGATTATAGATCAGCATTTAGTTCTTAATCGTCGATATGTTATTTTCTTTATTTATAAAAAAATTCTGAGCTCGCGCGCCCCTTTTATCTACGCGCCCCTAGGCACGTGCCTAGTTTGCCTTACGGATAATCAGCCTCTGATGTTATGTGAAGTGTGAGTTATGTTAAAGTGAAGAATTTCCAATTGTGCGTATTTGAAAGTAAGCCATTGAATACAGATAATAATGATGAATAATTTGTTAGCGTCTTGAATTACGGAAAATTCTATTAGATCTAAAGTATTACATATTGCGCACTATGGGTTTCTGCGGGAAGGATACTCTCTAATCAACCTTTTTCGATGGGCTTAGAATCAGGAAAACGGCTTAGTAGATAACATTTCACAGTAAATTACGTTGTAATTTTATATTTTTATAGGAGACAGCCTTATTGATGTTACATAAGTATTTCATTATTTAAATTAGGCGTTGTAACAAGTTTAGCGTAGATAGAAAAGAGAAATTACAGTAATTAATGCCTTCGTGAAATCGCAATGCATTTGGTTTTAATGGATCTCACAAAGTTAGCGTCACTAGAATGTGTGTAGAAAAGAGTGTCCAACTTCTTTTATTTCAATGCATTCCCTAATATTCAAATGGCAAAATGAATGCGATATTTTTACAAGTATATGATATAAGTTAAAGAGTGTATTACAGACTGCGTGTAAATAGCAACAGCACGAATGAAGCTTCTGTTCACAGAAAAAAAACAAATCGAGAGATATTTATTTTATTAACTTCTGAAATATTTGCACATTTATGAACATGACTAAGATACATGCAAGACTCTGTTACACTTAGTCCATTAATTACTGATATATCTGATGTAAAAAACTTGGTAATTACATTTTCGAACGCAATCGGCTTTGTATCTGATTACTAGATCGAGAGTGATTTGATCGAGTGATTTATTTCGTTTATCTAGACTGAAACAAGAACCTCTCTGAATGTCTACTGACAAATAATTCAATATGTTGTCATCTAAGAATTAAATTAGAAACATTTCGTCAAGTTGTGATTTGCTTGTGAAAGTATTGAATAATGTTCAGAAAATTTACCATGTATTCACAATATTAGAGACTTATTATTTCAATAACTACACTCACAGGTATATGTATGTGCTCTGTATCTGAATCTGATTAGCTATGACCTATTTATATTTTGATTAGTAGATGAGCTGGTATTAGTAGTGACAAGACCACGCCTGTGATATCTATATATTTCTTGGGTGTGCTCTGAGGTTCTGTGTTGGAGATGATCCCTTCATCTCCTTTTAATCATCGATCCTACCTGTAACCGCTGCGTTCATCCACAGCGCGTTTCCAGATATCTGTTTTGTCACCCTACTCTGGAATGAACTCCCCTTCATGGTGTTTCTCGACTTTTTCTTCTTCACCTCGGGCTTGAAGAGCGTCAGCTAACACTGCTGATCTCCATGATCAAGGGTGAGACTACTTATTATCAGGTAGGTTATATGCTCGCCTGCTTACAAAAATAAAAAGAAAAACATACGAATATCGAAGTTCATCATACTGGTTGGTGGTAGGACCTCTTGTGAGTCCACGTATTTCTATTGTACCTAGGTAGTTTTCAGGGATCATTAAAGAGCTTTTACTATGAGTAAAAAAAATGTTTATCTATTCTAATTAAATCAAAGAAAAAGTAAGAAAACGATCAATATAGTGTGAGTTACAATGGTGGTGCTATTTTTTTGTAGCTTTCAAATAATTATGAACATAGCCCTTATAAATCTTGGAATATTATTTGACAGTTCTAAATGTTTAATTATGTTTTTTTTTCGGGCAGAGGGCTGAACTTCCTACGAAGTGCCCGCGAAAAGGAGGCACTCGGGGTAAGCGGGGTTTAACGGTCTGTCGATATTGGGAACAGACCGCAAGCCCATTTATACCTAGTCAGGTCATAAGTATTGTCACACAGTAAAAACTTTTCTTTTAGAATGCTGGCCACAAAAAAGTTTATTGAATTCGAATTGTTCATGAAAATAAAAATAGTATACATTTAGAATTTTACTCATTTTTAAATATGGAGTGGATGCTTAAAGAAGACCGTGTTGCAGTTATTGCGTTGCATCGTTGCGGTTACGCGCCAATTAAAATTTTTAACATACTGAAAAATTTGAATATAACAAAATGATTCGTTTATCGTACCATCAAACGATACAATGAAGACTCTAGTGTAGATGACAGGTCAAGAAGTGGTCGCCCTCGGTCTGTTAGGACTTCAGCAGTGATAAAAGCTGTGAAGGCGCGAATTCAAAGAAATCCCAAACGTAAGCAGAAACTGTTGGCCCTTCAGATGGGGTTAAGCAGAACCACGGTGAAAAGGGTGTTAAATGAAGANAAAGTGTCACCTTGTTCCGAAGGGACATTTTACTCCGCTTACAGATCATGGGGTAGAGTCTACCGAGAATAAACGCGGCACGGTCACGGACTGATTTTATATGCGGGCGGAATGTCATCGATGCATCCAGGGTAACGCCCAGGTACTTGACCTTCCTGGCCCAGGGTATGGATTGACTAAAGAGAGTAATCGGGGGTGGCGTTGTAACAAGTTTAGCGTAGATAGAAAAGAGAAATTACAGTAATTAATGCCTTCGTGAAATCGCAATGCATTTGGTTTTAATGGATCTCACAAAGTTAGCGTCAATAGAATGTGTGTAGAAAAGAGTGTCCAACTTCTTTTATTTCAATGCATTCCCTAATATTCAAATGGCAAAATGAATGCGATATTTTTTCAAGTATATGATATAAGTTAAAGAGTGTATTTATTACAGACTTCGTGTAAATAGCAACAGCACGAATGAAGCTTCTGTTCACAGAAAAAAAACAAATCGAGAGATATTTATTTTATTAACTTCTGAAATATTTGCACATTTATGAACATGACTAAGATACATGCAAGACTCTGTTACACTTAGTCCATTAATTACTGATATATCTGATGTAAAAAACTTGGTAATTACATTTTCGAACGCAATCGGCTTTGTATCTGATTACTAGATCGAGAGTGATTTGATCGAGTGATTTATTTCGTTTATCTAGACTGAAACAAGAACCTCTCTGAATGTCTACTGACAAATAATTCAATATGTTGTCATCTAAAAATTAAATTAGAAACATTTCATCAAGTTGTTGTTGCTTGTGAAAGTATTGAATAATGTTCAGAAAATTTACCATGTATTCACAATAATAGAGACTTATTATTTCAATAACTACACTAGGTATTTGTATGTGCTCTGTATCTGAATCTGATTAGCTATGACCTATTTATATTTTGATTAGTAGATGAGCTGGTATTAGTGATAACAAGACCACACCTGTGATATCTATATGTTCCTTGAGTGTGCTCTGAGGTTCTGTATGGAGATGATCCCTTCATCTCCTTTTAATCATCGATCCTACCTGTAACCGCTACGTTCATCCACAGCGCGTTTCCAGATATCTGTTTTGTCACCCTACCCTGGAATGAACTCCCCTCCATGGTGTTTCTCGACATTTTCTTCTTCACCTCGGGCTTGAAGAGCGTCAGCTAACACTGCTGATCTCGATGATCAAGGGTGAGACTACTTATTATCAGGTAGGTTATATGAATGACTTTACTTATAAACTACAAATTTTATATTTAGTAAGATAGCTCAACATGAGCTTTAGGGCGCCATAGCAATGCAAGCAAACGCCATTTATAGTGAAACTATTTTATCGTCAGGCGCTTTTGTAATTAACAAAACAAATTAATTATCTTCTACTGATATCTATATATTTCATTGTATTTAAATCCTCAGTATGTTCCTAAAACTAATTTTTTATTAATTGTAATAATTGATGTTTTTGTTGGCACTTTAGTTATTGTTTCTAGTATCGACTATTTCATCGTGGTGGATGTATGAAATACCTTTATTTGTATTAATTACACGCGCCTTACTTGTCGTATGTTTTTTTATAACATAGACGGTTGAACAAAGCTTAATG